CACTCGGGTAAGAGATATTAAGAACAATTGAAATAATAAATGTTGAAATTTTAATAGCTCGATTTGAGTTAAAATCTTCTGATATATGCTGTCATTGTTTTCTTTTTTTTTGAACTACTGCCCATTTTTTTTGTTGTATATAAATTAATAAACTATCTACAAATTTTTTTAGAAAATTAGGAAATCTATTATAATATAAATCTAAAGATTGTAGATTTTCTTTATTTTTATGAATTTCTGATCATGCTTTTCAAATTGCATATCCTAAAGTTTCGCTAAATTTTTTTGGCTCTTCTTTAATAATTTTTAAATAACTTCCTGTCTCAAAAAGACTTGATAATTGAATTTTTTTTAATCGCATAGCAATTTTTATTGCCATATAGCTTGGAGGTTTAAACTTTAATTCTATATTAGATTAATTCATTGAGGCAGAATGTGATTTATTTTTGCAAATTTTTTTTTTGAATAAAAGTTATTAAATACTTCAAAAAGTTCTTCTGCAAGAATATCTTTCGAAAGTTTGTCTGAAGTTGTAGCAATATTTAAAATCTAATATTCTAAAAGCTCAAGAGTTTTAGAACTATCGTCAAAATATAAATCCTTACATGAAAATGGACTCAATCCTCTTCCTTTTCTCTGAAAAAAATGTCCTCCCTCTAAATTAAAACATACAGAACAAATATAACGTGATGATTTTTCATTTGTTAATTATGTAATATATTTATTCCAACTAAAGACTGAACAGACTTTTATACCCTGACATGGAATTTGCACATTTTTATTTAAAACATTCTAACTATGATAAATGTATTTTCTATCTCAGCTAAAAAAAATTTGTCTTTATGACAAAAAAGACAACGCTGTTTGTGAATCCAACTTTTTGGAATAGATACAAGAGCTTTTGAGCCACGTGGATATAAAACATCTTGATCGAAGTTGAAATGATTATTATATACTCTCAATAATTCAAAAAATGCTCATTATTTGTTTTAAATATTTTATTAACACTTTCATAATCTAACTCCTATATTCCCATCATTTGTTTAATTGGCCTAGAAGTTTTATTTAAACAATGTTTTAGTTCGCTATCCACTAATTCTGTAATTATACATTGACTAATGATATTATTATTAAATTATTCATTTTCTTTAATTTCATAATTTACTTTATTTTCCTCTACTGATAATGGAAAACTACAAGATGATTCGGTATCTGTTAACTTATCTAAATTACTAGATAACCAATCAATATCATTCTGTATTTCATTATTATTAGATAATGTTTTAAAATAATCTAATGCCAATTCATAGGCTACTTTATTACTAAATATATCCAAATATATATTTTCATTTCTACTACTATCTGTAGTAGGTATTCTGGATATTTCAAAGGATTGATCAGTAAAACTGCAATTACTTTCATTATCAAGTAAGGCATATTCTTGATCTGGATCCAAATAAGTACTGTTTAAAATATTAATATTGTTTATTGTATCAACTTCGCAAGTATCTTGACTAGAAGATATCATTTTTTATTAAAGCTAATTCAAAATAATATGTACAAAAAATAATTAGTAAAAATAATAATAATAGCTATCTAGT